TTACCACAAGTTGAGACCAGCCTGGGGTACATAGTTAGTTCAAGGCCAGCCTGCAGTACAAAGTGAGACCATGTCTTAAAAAAAAAAAAAAAAAACATGAAAAATGGGCTGAGGGTACCTCAGTGGTTGCGCACTTGCCTAACATGCATGAAGACCTGGGTTCAGTCCCTAACACTACAAAAAGAAGAAAGAAAGAAATTTTTCATTTACTTTTTTCTATTTTCACAGTGTTAGAGATTGAGCCCAGAGCCTTCCTACTGAGCTCTGTCCCCAGCCTTTTTTTTCTTTCTTTTTTTAAATTCTTACTTTTGAGACGGGGTCTGACCAAGTCACTGAGTTGCCCAGGTAACTTGTGATTCTCCTGCCTCAGCCTTCCAGAGTGCTGGGATGAGAAGTATGTGCCACCACACCTGGTTCATTTATTCTTTGTTGAAAGCTCTTTCTTTATATAGATCTGAGTTCCTGACCTGTCTCTGAAAAACTTAACATTTTTTGTAACAGAGGTCTACTGCCAGGCAAGAAATTCCTCAAAAAAAATTTTTTTTCTTTTGGTCTGAGAAGGTCTCTTTATTCTTCCTTCACTTTTTAATTTTTTTTATTTATTTATTTATTTATTTTTGAGACAGGGTCTCGCCATGTAGTTCAGGCCAGTCTTGAACTCACTTTGTAGCCCAGGCTGGCCTCGAACTTATGGCAGCACTCCTGCCTCAGCCTCCCAAGTGCTAGGATCACAGACATGCGCCACTACACGTGGCTCTTCCTTCACTTTTGAAGGTTAATTTTATCAGATACTGAATTCTGCATTGGTAGAATTCTTTCAATACTTTTCAATTCTTTCAATACCTTTGTCAATTCTTGGTTTTCATTTTTGGTGTGTGTCTGTGCGTGTGCTCGTGCACCTGCTGAACTTTGAACCCGTGTACTCTACCCCACAGGGCCACCCTACCAGCCCTCCGCTTTCTGCTTGCTTGCAAGGTTTCTTAAGAGAACTCCTGTACTGTAATTCTCATCCATGTTTCTTTCCAGGTGAAGTGGTTTTTCCTCTTCATCTTTCAAGACTTTCTCGTCTTTGATTTTCTGCAGTTTGACTGTGACAAGCTTAGGTGTAGGCTTTTGGTATTTATCCCCTTTGGTGTTCTCTGAGCTCTGGACCTGTGGTTGGTATATATCATTCGTTTTGGGAAATTTCAGTCATTCTGATTTCAAATATTTCTTCTTTCTCTTTTACCTGTCCTCCTTGTACTCCTCTACCATACATATTTATGCCTTTTGTAATTGTTCTACAGCTCTTGGAAATTCTTTTTTCTCTTTAGTTTTGGGAGTCTTTTTTTTTTCTTTTGGTGATGCTAGGGATTGAACCCAGGGCCTCATGCTGAGCACACACTATATCCCTAAGTTACACCCCCAGACCTTTCTGTTAACATAGCTTAAAGCTCTCTGATTCTTTCTGATGAGCCTATCAAAGGCATTCTTCATTTCTCTTAATATTATTTCTAGCATTTCTTTTTGATTCTTAAGAGTTGCAGCTCTCTGCTTATCTTATGCAATTGTTCTTACATGTTGTCCACTTTCCGTTGCTGGGACAAAATACCTGACAGACATCTTAAAGGAGGAGAGGTTTATTTTGGCTCTTGGTTACTGTCCATGGTTGGCTGGCTCCAGGGCAGGAGCAGCGCGGCAGATGAAAAGCTGCTCATGTCATAATGGCCAGGAAGTAGAGAGAAGGGAGGAACCAGGGAGGAAGCTGAGCTACATGCTACATCTCATGCCCTTTGATTTTTTATATTAAGACAGGATCTCGCCAGGGATTTAGCTCAGTGGTTTCGCCACCT